CTGGTGCCCAGTCAGCCAGTGTCCGGAAACACCGTCATCCTGACCAGCACCGCCTCTGCAGTCCAGTCCCCCATCACCCAGACCGGGTCCAGTCCAGCTGCCATCACCCTGACAGGGGTCAAACCTGCCATGAACGGGCTGGCTCAGCCTGCGGTGGCTGTGGTGAGGCCTCCGGGCGGCCCGGTGGTGGCCACCTCCCTCCAGCAGCAGAGACCCGCTATGGTGGCGAGCTCGACCCGGGCAGCTGCCCCTCTGGCTGTCCGGCCCCAGCAGCAGACCACCATCCAGCTCCCCCCCGGCTTCAGCATGCCTGCTGGTGAGAGTGCTGCACCTTCACCTGAGGGTCACATGCTGGTGTCACAGCACATTCAGGTCCCTGTGGAGACAGAAGCTTGTGGTCACTTCCTGTCGAACCTGAAGTCCTCAGTCCTCAAAGGAGGGAAACCAATAAATCAGTCAATCGATAGAGATTTGATGAGAAACTATGATGAGAGAACGTTACAGTGAGAATCCAAACATTGGACATTTTATACACAAATCAATTGATCAGTGAATCAGAATCAATGACTCAGCTGATAGTTTGTTTCACTCAGAGCTTCAGTTCTTATCCAGTGTGACAGGAAGTACATTTCCACCATCACTGACGACGGGGTGGTGATGACAAAGAGCAGCAGCTGGGTTTCTGACCCGTGTCTCCTCTCTCAGGTATGGTTCTGGTGCGGACGGAGACGGGTCAGCTGGTCATGGTCCCTCAGCAGGTCCTGGCTCAAGCTCAGGCCAAGACGCAACAGGCCCAGACGGTGGCCAACATGACCCAGAGACCTGCCCCAACCACGGCTGGGGCCGCCATCAGGGTCAGCACCACCACCACGGTACGTCTGGTACTAACCATAAACCGAATCTTAGGGCAGCACAGGTACTGAGTTCAGTGGCTGCAGGTCTGATAAGTTCTTTATTATAATTCTTATTAAATAACACTGAAGTTCAGACGAGTTCTGTCCTGATGATGCTGAAGAGTTTCACATGTGAAGAAGCAGCAGGAGATTGAGGGTCAGTGTGAAGGTCCACATGTGAAGTTACATATCACAACAACTGAACCCTGCACGTGGGGACATTCAGGCGAGGGGCGGAGCCTGTAGAGCAGCAGGAGGCGGGACATGACCTCTAAACTCTGCTGTGTAAAGATCAGTGTTGTTGTCTACAGCTCGTCCACACGGCGTCGGCCCTCATCACCAAAACATCTGGAACCTCCTTGTCTTTACGTGTACGGCTCCTCTTCTTCATCCTGAGACATTTGTGTTCTTCAGTTTCACGTCCGTTAGTGTTAGAAACCTCAGAGACACGCCCACTCGCTCACTGAGAAGGTTCCGGATGTTCTCCTGCTGTTTTCTCACATGGACTCACTTTGTGTTCTCACATACAGGAACATGTGGACTTCAGTGCAGGTCTGACAGCAGCTTCTGATTGGTCTCCACTGTAAAGTGTTGTTAGATCAGTGGTCGACAAACCGTCGATCTCGATCGACAGTCTTCACCATCGATCTCTGTAACTCTCTGGACTCACAGTCTGTGGTCGCGTAGCAGATCAGCTGTGGGTCGGTTGTCTGTTGTTCACACCCGCTGTGTGTCCGCTACTGGCCTCGGAGCAGCAGGTTTATCTCCTGCATTTCCTTCAATACAAGTTGGATTATGCACTGAACTAAATGTCAGGACTCTACGGTCTGAAGTCCTGCATCTTCTGGTCTGTCGACAACAATCAAAGCCCTGTTAGCACAAACGAATGGACTCAGAAGTGAAACGCTGGAGTGCTTTTACTTGTGTTGTAAATATGTTTGTGACATAGACAGATCAACTTTGTGTTTCACTGCAGAGTTTGAATGTTTATCTGTTGAATTTATGTCACAAACAAAAGAAAAGCACTCCAGCGTTTCTGTTGACCAAATCCATTCTTTTGTTTAAAAAGTTTTTTATTGTGAAATATTTGCAGGAGCTGAAGATGCATGAATTCATACTGAAATAATAAATATGAGCCTCCTAAGTGGGTTTTTTGCAAGACATCGGGGTGGTAGATCTCGGCTCACGTTTTGAATTAAAAAGTGATCTTGTGCTTTATAAGGTTGGCGACCACTGTGTTAGATGATGTTGTGATTTATTAATTCAAATTGAATTGATTTTTCTGTCACATTTTGTTAATTGAACAAAGCGTTGGTCGTCACTCTGGATTTCTTTATAAAAATATAAACCAAACAATGAAACAGTTGAAGAAAATCAGCTGCAGGTAACTTGATAGTTAAAGTGTGAAACAGCTCAACTGCAATGACCTGGTCTGTGACGTGGTCTGTTTTTCCCTCCGTGTCGTCTGCAGGCTCCTGTCACAACTCAGACCGTCCGCCTGGCGTCACCCGCTCCAACCAGGATGGTTCAGTCTCCCTCCACCACCACTGTACAGGTGAGTTTCTGTCCAATCAGGCTCCTCTGTTTCGTTAACAACCAACTCCAGCACTCATCAGAAGTAATTAGGACAAGTACAGAACTTGAAGTTTACTTTGTGTTTGTTTGATTCGCTGTAGAGTTTATGACTGGGTCAGATCACAATGGGGGGTGCAAAAGATAAACTTTCATTAATTGTACTTGAAGTAAACGTTAATAATAATCACAATATTGATTTGAAGTCATATTTGTCAAATATGATGTAATGACACCGAACGCACCACACATTTTCAGATCCAAAACAGTTGAAGTCGATGGTGACCGATTCAGACAGAAAAAACACAGCACGCCTCCATCCTGCTCCTGTGATGTCATCAAATGTCCACAAGCCCCGACATTTATATTCGACTTGAAATGACGTCATTTACTCCAAGTTTTAAGCCTATAAGTGTCTAAGCTACACAACGGTGTGTCCAGCGGTCCCTTAATGCACCTCGTAGGAAGATATCAGACAATGAGGGTTAAAACTAAGTGACGTCATTTCAAGTCGAATTTGAATGTCGGGGTTTGTGGACATTTGATGACATCACAGGAGCAGGATGGAGGCGTGTTGTGTTTTTTCTGTTGCTCTATCATTTAGCTGTTACAAAGTTTATTTCTGAGACTCCAGAAGTCTTCACCCCCCTCCATCAAAGTGGTGCCTAGATAATGAGTGCATTTTCATTTTTCAGTGAACTATCCCTTTAAAATGACTCTACCTATAGCCTTTACATCTGAATGTGTAAATGTCATTTTTCTGGGCCCTGTCCTTCGTGCTGTTGTTTCCCAGAAGGCCATCACCGTGGCCCCTGGCGGTGCAGCGGTGTCTGTGAAAATGGCGACACCACAGAAGGCTCCAACGGTGATAACAGCCGGGGGGGCGCCTGCAGCCAAACCTGCTGGTGTCCCGTCCACCACCATGACCCCCGCTGCCACAGCCACGCCCCCCAGCAGAGTCACCGTGGTGTCGCAGGTCAGGTGGAGTTCATTCAGTCCGTTTCTTGCTCCATGAGTCGTGTTTTAACTTGTCGTCACCGTGTTCGTCCCGACAGGAGATGCAGGAGAATGTGAAGAAATGCAAGAACTTCCTGGCCACACTCATCAAGCTGGCGTCCCACAATTCTCCCTCCCCAGATACCTCCAAGAATGTGAAGGCCCTGGTGCAGGACCTGCTCGTAAGACGCTCACCGCACCATGCCTCATTTTCATTGGCTGAAATTTCTGGTATGGTTTCAGTCAAACTTGACCTCTCTCTCTCTCTCTCTCTCTAGGATGCTAAGATCGAGCCAGAGGAGTTCACCACTCGGCTGCAGGCTGAGCTGAAGTCCTCCCCTCAGCCCTACCTCATTCCTTTCCTCAAGGTACCAGCACATCATCACAGCATCATCATGGCATCATCATTATATCATGACATCATCACAACATGACCACATCCTCATCATGTCATGACATCGCAATATAGAAACCGTCACATTACTCATCAAATTAACTTTGTAATGACAACTGTTCATTCTCCGGTATGTATGATGTCACGGTGATGTCACGTGTTGTTACAGTGATGTCACAGTGTTGTCACGGTGTTGTTACGGTGATGTCATAGTGTTGTCACGTGTTGTCACGTGTTGTCACAGTGATGTCACTGTGATGTCACTGTGATATAATTTGTTGTCACAGTGTTGTCACAGTGTTGTCACAGTGTTGTCATGGTGATGTCACAGTGATGTCACAATCTGTTTGACCCCAAGGCGTTGTGTCTCCACAGAAAAGTCTCCCTGCCCTGCGTCAGTCTCTGCTCAGCAGCCAGCAGTCTCTGATGACAGCCCCCAGCACCTCCACACCACCCTTGGCCGCCCCCGGCTCCATCACCACCACGGCCATCAGACCCCGGCTGCCCGTCAGTCCGGCGAGCAGCACCATCAAACTGAACCCGCCACTCACTAACACAACAGCTCTGGTACGATGAGTCGTTCAGGTGTTCAGTGGCGGGTTCTGATTCGTTTAAAACACAGAACTAACCTGAGAGACACAGAAATGCTTTGTTCTGCTTCTCTGCATATTCCGATAATTAATGATAATATAATAATCTATAAATATCTAGTTTTAGTTTGATGTTAGAGAACAGGTGGAACATTAAGAAAGACGTTAGAGAACAGGTGGAACATTAAGAAAGATGTTAAAGAACAGGTGGAACATTAAGAAAGACGTTA